ATTTATTTTTACTTTCTTTTAGTACAAATTTGTAAAATTTTAAATCTTAGCTTTTACCAACGCAGGTACTTACGTTTTTCTTTAATTATATTTTGTTTCGCTATAATGCTGGGACAAACATGTTTTTTTATTTATTGGTCACTTCCTAGGTCTTTTATACGTAGCTTCTTCGCGCACCTGAGTCCTTTCCCAAAATGTTTCGTGATTATAATAACACAGGTATACACGGTTTTGGACCTGAGCAACCAAAAGTTGTTTTTAAGGTAACTGGGGGCGCTGAATCCAAATCTTCACTTTGATTTTTAAGATTGGTTCTAGTGTTCGAGATAGTAAATAAATTAAATTTTTACGATCTTTGGCAATTATGGAACTTTTATATTGTTTTGGATCCGTTTCACCCATTAAAGTAGTCGCTCATCATGCGTTCATCCCAAAATTTTTGGTATCTCCTTTCAATGTTTTCCAAGAATGTTGTGAACAACACTTCGAAAAGAGGTCCATGCTGCCGCTTTATTAAACATTTTGTTTAGTTTCCGTCAGTCATTAACTTTCGAATATCAGGTCCGACAAATATTCCTTCTTTGATTTTTGCATACAACAAATTCGGAAACAACTTAGTACTGAAAAGCCTGCCCTTCACTTGCGAGAACTGAAAAACTAGAACCAATGTTGCCAAACGGATTTAAGATTCGAATTTAGCGCATCAAATAACGTCAAAAATCGTTGTAATCTGCCCGGGTCCAAAAGTTGGCCGGAATTTGTAAAGTTGTGTAATTAATTAATTAACTTAAGAAACCGCTTCTAGCACAAATTCTTAACTTCTCCTTCAAGCTTTAAAAATTTAAAGCTCAATTTTTTATTACTTTCTCAATGTTACCAAATACCTGATCCGGTAGTGTGAATGATACGTACAACAGCATACAAACAAAGCATACTTGTGGTCAAATCGCGCTTTCAATGACCGTTTGATACGTTGAATACATTTTGATCCCAAGTTGTCGATGAACAATGTACGTTTTGAAACCAAACCAATTATTTAAGTGCAAATTACTGAGGAAAATGGTATATTTTAAAACTGAATAAAAATATCTATGCGTTTTCCTTAAAATTCTATGCAGTGTGATGGTTTTTTATGGTTTAGGTATTTTATTAATAAAAGTATATTATTATACGATAGATAATGCAGGCTATTATTCATGAGAATAAGGTTTGCGGCACGAGACTGTGCGTTATCCTGAGTGTAATGCTTTATCTACTTTAAAAGTAGAAAATTGAAGGATTTTCAAAAATAATTTTAAAAAAATCTGAAATTTGTCAAATGCTTAACCTCACTTTTTACCAATTTTAATTGTTATAATGGTCGCTTCTCCCAATTAAAAACCCGATTGGTTCAAATCACAATGAATATTAAAATCGGCCAATCACTGATGCTCAACAACGTGAATAATGAGTTTTCCCGTTGTTATGCAGGGAATTTATAATATTTATTATTATATACGCAAAAAAACAATATTATGCAATAGGAGTTAATTTTAATTTAGAGAATTATTTGGGTTGCTTTGTTTAAACCATACCTATATCTAATACACATTGTTAGCACACGTACCTAAGTTAAAGTGTTAAGGAGCTTCTGTTTCTTTCTCTAGTTCTTAGTCTTATGCGCATGTCCGAGGATAAAAATGAAAGAATTGCAGAACGGGTCAACATTCCTACGTTCTGCTATTGGTTCAATTCAATTCTCGGATATGCGCACTAGATACTAGAAGTACTATAAAAAGAGATACACGCATATATTTTTGCACAGGAGCGTTTTCGTCCTCTCCTATTTAACTAGCAATATAGGTATTAGATATATGTTTTAAATACAGTTTGGTGTTTTAGACACTTTCAGGAGTGTTGAAAGTGTTTATAAACATTGTTTAATTTTTAATAAATCACCATCAGCAAAAAAACGATATTTTGAGATTGGTACTAAAAATATATATTGGAATAGGTACCCTGTATCTTTTTACATAACGAGGGTATTTTTTTAACAATTTAGATCATACACTTTCAAGGTGGTGTGCGGCTTTTACCATACGCTGTATATATATGTCACACTTGTAATTCAGAATTTCTTTATTAAACTATTTTATAAACTTGCCCCCAGTTTATAAATAGAATATTTAAATAGTAGAGTATTATTAAATTATTATAATAATATTAATATTAATTTTTAAACTTTAACTATTTATAAGACGTTTTAACGATTAAATTATTATAATAATATTAATTCTTATTTTTAAACTTTAATTATTTATAAAACGTTTTCATTAATAAATGAGTTAATATCTGATGATTTTGTGTATCAATATTGCAGCATTAAAATAATACTTCCATAAACAATTACATTAGCTGGAGAAACAACTATTTAGTATAATTACAATATTAACAGATAAATCCTTAATAGTTATTGACAATAAGGTGTTTTAAACTTAATATTTCTCTTATTTTAAAAAAATTATTGAATAAATAACCATAAAATATTTCTTAAAAGTACCATCCAATTATGTCAAACAATTTTATTTAATTTTTAGTGTCATAAATGAAGGGGATTTAAAATTTTACTATTTTATAACAGAGAAAGAGATTAAATAAAAAAGGCAAACAATGCTTTTCATTAAACAACAGTGCAAGTTTTAATTACGTGCCACAAAACAAATAAAGTTGCCTAACACTCACACACAATACAAAATACTCAAACATTTAAAAGTAATGTGTATGAATACTGGGAGTATTTTCGTCTACCTCTTTATTAAATTTAGCGAAATAAAATATGTTCATTCAAATGCTTAACCTCACTTTTTACCAATTTTAATTGTTATAATGGTCGCTTCTCCCAATTAAAAACCCGATTGGTTCAAATCACAATGAATATTAAAATCGGCCAATCACTGATGCTCAACAACGTGAATAATGAGTTTTCCCGTTGTTATGCAGGGAATTTATAATATTTATTATTATATACGCAAAAAAACAATATTATGCAATAGGAGTTAATTTTAATTTAGAGAATTATTTGGGTTGCTTTGTTTAAACCATACCTATATCTAATACACATTGTTAGCACACGTACCTAAGTTAAAGTGTTAAGGAGCTTCTGTTTCTTTCTCTAGTTCTTAGTCTTATGCGCATGTCCGAGGATAAAAATGAAAGAATTGCAGAACGGGTCGACATTCCTACGTTCTGCTATTGGTTCAATTCAATTCTCGGATATGCGCACTAGACACTAGAAGTACTATAAAAAGAGACACACGCATATATTTTTGCACAGGAGCGTTTTCGTCTCCTATTTAACTAGCAATATAGGTATTAGATATATGTTTTAAATACAGTTTGGTGTTTTAGACACTTTCACGAGTGTTGAAAGTGTTTATAAACATTGTTTAATTTTTAATAAATCACCATCAGCAAAAAAACGATATTTTGAGATTGGTACTGAAAATATATATTGGAATAGGTACCCTGTATCTTTTTACATAACGAGGGTATTTTTTTAACAATTTAGATCATACACTTTCAAGGTGGTGTGCGGCTTTTACCATACGCTGTATATATATGTCACACTTGTAATTCAGAATTTCTTTATTAAACTATTTTATAAACTTGCCCCCAGTTTATAAATAGAATATTTAAATAGTAGAGTATTATTAAATTATTATAATAATATTAATATTAATTTTTAAACTTTAACTATTTATAAGACGTTTTAACGATTAAATTATTATAATAATATTAATTCTTATTTTTAAACTTTAATTATTTATAAAACGTTTTCATTAATAAATGAGTTAATATCTGATGATTTTGTGTATCAATATTGCAGCATTAAAATAATACTTCCATAAACAATTACATTAGCTGGAGAAACAACTATTTAGTATAATTACAATATTAACAGATAAATCCTTAATAGTTATTGACAATAAGGTGTTTTAAACTTAATATTTCTGTTATTTTAAAAAAATTATTGAATAAATAACCATAAAATATTTCTTAAAAGTACCATCCAATTATGTCAAACAATTTTATTTAATTTTTAGTGTCATAAATGAAGGGGATTTAAAATTTTACTATTTTATAACAGAGAAAGAGATTAAATAAAAAAGGCAAACAATGCTTTTCATTAAACAACAGTGCAAGTTTTAATTACGTGCCACAAAACAAATAAAGTTGCCTAACACTCACACACAATACAAAATACTCACACATTTAAAAGTAATGTGTATGAATACTGGGAGTATTTTCGTCTACCTCTTTATTAAATTTAGCGAAATAAAATATGTTCATTCGTGTTTCCGTAACAATGCCTACTGTATAAAATATTTTATGTATATTTTTATTTAACCCTCACACCCCTTAATGTTGCAGAGGAAATAAAAATAAATCCTAAAAGGTCTTACAATGTATCATTTTTATGTTGAATCTCCATAAACAGATTTTTTGTGATATTTTTATTTTATTTTAGTGCCTACAATATTTAGGATACATTTATATAAAAAAAATAATTATCAGGATGTGCTGAATTAAATTTTTACAAAATATTATCGAAATAATGCGTTGACATTTATAAAAAATTATTGAATTTGTTTAAACCTTGTTCTTTAAAATAAAATATATCTTGACACAAAAATCCCCCGGTTTTTATCGGTTCTTTTTATCTAGAAAAACCCAGAGGGTTTTTGTTATTTTTTTCCTCGTAATTTACACAATCTAGCTGTGAGTTCCGGCGAGTTTCGTTTGACAACTGAGGTACTTTGGAGCCCTCCTTTAAGTTTAACCAACCTCTAGGCCGGTGCCGATTTCTAAAGAACTTCTGAATTTCAACCAAATGCGTAATTACACTGTTTGGTGTAACTGATTTCTCCACAAAGTTTAGGTAGTGTGAAGAGCAACATTAAGTAAGAACAGAAGGAAATATTTCAGACATGTTTTTTCTCATTTTGATCATCTTGTTCTCGTTATCTGTTACAAAGGCAAAAACATGTTTTCCAAATTTTTTGTTCGCATTTTTTAATGCTGGCCCAAGCAATTTCCGTGCAATATTCAGCTGTCTTTTTTTCTTCTCCGCAATCTTTTGCTGATACTATTAAATATAAACGCATACCTGTATGTATTGAGATGGCCAAGATGAGATCATTATTTACACTGGACCAGCCATCTTGCAAAACAGTAATTGGCCTGTTATCCTGAGAAATATCTTCAATTATCTGATGGTCAACTTTTTCAGCAGCTTCATCTAGCAGGTCTCCTGCTAAATCTTTTTTGTTTGGAGGTTTGCATCCTGGTCGCAACAAGTTCACCATTTTCAGAAAGATTTTGTGTTCTATTATTCTAAATGGTGTGTTAGTCGCGTAAAAAAACTTTGCAACTGCTGAATCGATTAATACTTCGAGTTCTTTTGGTGTAGAATCCACAAATTCAGTTATAATAGATGGTTTTCCATCTTCTTAATCTTTGGCTGCTCTAAGTCCTGTAAAGGCTGGGATGTACAGCCGCTAGCATTAGCTTTTTCATCATAAAGATAGGGTTGACCATCATTATTGTCTTTTTCAGTCTTCTCTTTGCAAATTTTTAAATGATTGCGTATTCTTTCGACTTTTGAGCTTAGTGGTATACCAAAATGTTTACCTTTTTTTATAACATTAGTCCATTCACAGCTCAGTTTTCTGCCTCCACCATTGTTATGTTCTGGCTTTTTTCTCCTTCTGAACTCATTCTTAACAAAGGACTCGATTCGTGATATTTTATCAATCTGAAAATGAAAAGTGTTAGGCAATGTGTTCTACTTTCTAAATTATTATAATTGTTACTTACCTACGCAAATAATTCAATCCTATAGGTAAATCAAGAGCGGTAATTTGAGAAAAGAACCGGCGTAATTGCAGGTTAGGTTTTATTAAGTAAGTACAATATTAACTATGCAGATTTCTTTTATCAAAATCAACGAAACTAGAATAACCATTGTTTTTAAAGGTTGTAAATGTAAAAACCTACTGAAAAAAAACACAAAAACACGGGGTAAAACGGGTTTTTCCAAAAATCATTTTGCTCTCGAAAAAACCAACAAAAACCCTGCGGGTCGGTGTTTTTCTAATTTTACCCGGGTTTTTGCCAACTCTGCAAGTAACATATACATATAGAAAGCAACACTACCAACAGTTTGGACGGATGATCTTGTTCACAAGTCACACATTTTTGGTCTACCGACTCACTGTACCATACTGCTCAATTTATAATTGCGCAATCGATCTTTTCGGGTAAGGGTACATGCAAAGCTAGTGTGCCACACTAGTGTTAGCACCGACATTATACACAAGAGTGATCTTCCACGTTTCAAAAAATGTAAATTTGCTCTTTACGCCGACGACACAGCGCTTTATGCCAACTTTTTGTTTCGTCGGTAACTAATGATCAGGTGAAGATTTACCTTAAGTTGTTATAAACTTTTGTGATGCGAAAAATTAAGGGTTTTTGTACGTATTTAATCATAATTTTATTTAATTTAAAATATCGAATATTATATGTTTTAATGTGTTTGTAAAAATAATTTTGATGAAATTTGAGAAATTGTGGCTCTGGCCCCAAAACACCTTTTTCTCAATGGTTTGCGGTGAGCATGATAAATCGGGAACGTCTTGACCGAATATAAAAAAAACATGCTTAAAGCCTATTGGAGCAGATGGCTTATGGCGGTCTTGAGGTGAACCAACTAAATCAGATCTGATTAACTTTTCTTAAAATTTTTATCAAGATCTTTAACCAGTTCACCAATACTAAGGGCAGGCTATACGGAGCAATAAGGGCAACCTACCTACTCCTCCTAAGCTGCAGTGTTATATCCACTGCAAATAAAGTTCTGCTGTATAAGGCGGTCTTAAGACCAATTATTACTGCATGGTGTAATATTTTCGACACAAAATATATGCAAATTGAGCGATTGCAAACGATACTCTAGATTACAACCTGCACGCCTCAAAACACAGGTATCGAGGATATCCAAAAATTTGTCCACTAAAACAACATTTTAGAAATATAATAGTATATTCTGTAACAAGTTTGGAATACGGGATATTCCGCTTGAGTGAAAAGTTTGTTACACGAGCCGAAGGCAAGTTTAACGGATTTACGAGAGCGGAATATATAAAAAATACCATAAAAATAATTGTATTGGAAGAAAGTGAGGTTGGATCGATCTAAAAGTTTTTAGATAATAAACACAGAGATGTCGCCAATACTGTTTATTTCGTTATACTGTAATAAAATATTTTATTCTGTAACACTTCAAGAAACAAATGTAATTTCACATTAAACAGTGATATTAAAACGGTCATATTTCGTAAAAATAAGTTCTAAAGCAAAAATATTCAAACATTACCTCCACTTAAAAACAATTTTGGGGCGAAAATCCATTCTAACCTTACCATATAAACGAAAATACCTGACTAAAAATATAAACTAAGGTATATTTATAAGCATACTTTTTCAGTTGTCGATACCCAACGTGGTGGTCGTTTAAAATTTATAGATGCACAAAAGATTGCCTACTGGAAAAAACCTAGACCAAGACGATCTAAAATTTGTACTAAAAAGGCCCTTCATTAATAAAAGCTCTAAACTACTAGGCCACCTATAACAAGGTTTTTTAATTTAATTTTTCTTTGAATTCAACTCCGACGCTTATGAAAGGATGGTCCATAGGATATTAGCACCATCAAGCTATAAGGTTCTTAAACAAAAATTTTTGTAATTACGATATACTTTTAAAAAAATAAACATTGATGTTAAACAACTTTTATTAATCATTATTATTTCCATAATTATTATTCTTGATTAAAAAGAAGAGTTTTTTATTATGGGGTCAATTTTGACCCACAATACCAGATACGTTGCTAAATATAACCACGCCAGTTAAGGGTTAAGATAATAAATCTATTTATTTTAATCAGTATCTGTTCCATTTTTTTAATAAAAAAAATCATTAAAATTTTTATAAGTAAAGTAGAAATTTTGGGCCACTACTCGTTGTTCCTGACCTGCATAAAACGTATGCGGCGAAAAATCTATTACGATCTATTAAATTTGTAAAAAATCTAAATAAGTATCACCGTTTAAAAAAAGGGTTTATTAGTTTATTGTTAAACATGCCCGTCTAAACATTAATTGAAAACCGCCTCTGAAAGTTCGTCCTGCTTATGGTATGTGCATTTTCATGAGCATACATGTGCATATTATGAAAATTTAAACGCCCTGTGCGGATCAGCCCTGGCCTGTTGAAGAAGGAGATATCGCAAAATAGTACTTGAGCTGGATAAATCTGTAGTTCAAGGGCCTGCACTTTTTGTAAATGGTAAGTGTGAAAGTTTTTCCTAATGATGCGCCAAACCACCCACCACAGCAATTCTTCGGACACTTACTGTTGGATAGTCCTCTAACATGTCAATAACTTGCCCAGCATGCCCAGCATTGATGATCACAACGCAATCTTTGGACAGCCTGAACGATTGTGCGACGATCAGGATGATCCTTATGGGGAAAAGTGTATTTGGCGGCTGAATACATGTAAAACATCAGGGTATTTTACCCTAATAACTAATTTGATTGGCTTCACTTATTATTTATTACTTTTTAACTAAATTTATTAAACTGCTATGATTCGACTTCTACAAATGTTCTGCGGACTCTGCGTTACCATTCGATTTCTAAGCTGTGCCCAGATTGTTTTGCTTAGTAGGCACACGTGCCTTTATTGCTCTACTGTCCTACTTTGGTAAAAATGGGATTACCCTAACATACATGTAAAAACTTTTTTCAGAAAAAAAAACGAAAGATAAACTGACGAAAAGTTTTAAAACTTCTAATAATGGTTTTTGACAAAGCTTCTTAGTTTTAACGTTTTAAAATGTTAAGACTCGTTCACATCATTTTTGTATATTTGAAACTACAATTGGAGTAGTCAATTTTAAACCTCTTTATTTAGCAACCAAAAAAGCTTTTTACTTCTTCGGCTGCAGTTTTGGCATCTCTATTGTCGTTATCATTAGGCATTTCCCGGTGGGGCGCAAGTTGAGGATCACCCTGTATAGGGGGCTTTCCATGTCAAATCGGTCGCAAAAAATGGACGTGTCTTCGATTTTCTTAAAATTTTGAGTGGAACCCAAAACATTAAAAAATCTTAAGTTTCATCACTTTTTATGACTTTTTGCGGATTTTACAGAACAAACAATAAAAAGTAGTGGGTTTTCTTTGTTTTAGATTATTTTCAAGCTTCCTTTCAAAATAAAAATTTGAAAAAAAAATGTGTTAAAAAAAATACAAAAACTTACAAATACTTTGATATTTTTAAAACCGGCTGGGGGCAAGCCAAGCCAACAGTGTACCGCCTATGCTGAGCGGTGGCCGAGTGTTTGGGCCTTTTATTTAGATTGATCTCGTTTATAATTAAATCCATTTTTGTCCACATTTTAACTTTTTTTAATAAGCATATTAGAGTAGACCCGCAATCAGAACTTAAAGATGTGGACAAAACTAAAAAATTTAATTAGAATAATATACCAAAGGAAAACTGGTCACTATGCTTTATTCCAGATATGTTCATCACCAGACCCCGACAGACAGGCAGGTCTTTTGGACCACATGTACAACAAGCCATCGGCCCCCCAGTTAAACGTCAGCGGCAGCACAGTGACAAGGTTTTTCCTTTGGTATATTATTATCAAGTATAAACACCTTGTTTGATAGATTAACCTTATTTGTTAATAAATTATATCTGGGGGCAGTGTTGCCAGATTAAGGCCTAAAATCCCCCTAACAAGGTAACAGGTGTTGATACTCGTAAGAAAAAGCGACAACTAACTAACTAACTTAATTGATGAAAGTCAAGTTTGACAGTCAAATAATAGGTTTATAACAACATAGCTGTCAGCTGTTGTCAAACACTTAAATTTAAGTTTATTTATATAGAGTCAAATTACCTAATGTTGAAAGTTTATTAGTTTGGTTATGATTATAAAATTGTATTGACAACGTGGTTTTTGTGAAGAGACCGGGCATCATAGCCTCGTTTCTAAGGTGAGGTTTTTGGGTTGTTGATTTTTAGTAGGCGAAAAAAAAAAGATCGGAGGGATTGAGAGTAGGAATTTAAAAGATAAATTTTTTTGAATATAAACATAAAAGGTAAGATATAAATTTTATTTTAATCATTTCAATTAACTAACCAAGATCGTTGTCAAGCTTTATTCCCTTTTTAGCTGTTTATAATAATTTTATATTACCATTCAGGTTTAAACTCGGTTATCCAATCATC